TCTTGAGGAGGGGCCGCACCACCGCCTCTTTCAAGGCGGTGGGTAGGGATCCCTCACCCAAAGAGGCATTGACAACTCCCTGGAGCCACCCCCGCGTACCCTCCCGGGCGGCCATAACCAGCCAGGAGGGACACGGGTCCAACAAACAAGTGGTGGCATTCAGTCGCCCCAGCACTCTGTCCATGTCTTCTGGAGTCACTCAGTAGCCATGCTTAGCTGAATGGAGTAATAATCCTCTTGTGTAGGGTTTGTAGGCCTGTGCAAAGAGGCTCCATTCCTCATCATGTGCCACTTGACTCCTGTCACTCATGACAGTTGATAGGGAAGCTGTGCCTTGACTTGAAAAATGGTTCTGCCTCAACACAGATCTGGCTGGCCCCTTTGATCTGATTAAAAGGGTGACTGATTGAAGGTAGGAAGCTACTACAATCCAGTTCATCGAAGGAGAATACCGTTTTGGCTCACTGTCTTGTTCTGAGGGACTGCTCTGAAGCTTTGTTGAAATGGAGCATCCTTTCAAAGCATTACACTGCTCTAATAGTTAGCATTAGAACCAGGGCTTGTTTTCTCATAGAACGCCCAGAACGGAGTTCCGGCATCTTTTTTGGATGGAACCTTGTAGGGTAGGCAAGGCGGGTTGTATGATGTGTGTGAGTTCCGGCACCTTTTTTTTTTTTTTTTTTTTAGAAAAAAAGCACTGATTAGAACAATAGGAAAAGTGGCATATGTCACATGCCACCATTGGTTCCATAACATATGAAATCACACAGTGGCTAATTGGATAGAACATACAATGCCTTGCCCAAATGATAGGTGCACAGCCACAGCCCAGATACATTGTTCTTGAGATACAATTGAAGAACAAGGCAGAAAAATAGTTTTGATTTGTTTACAGATAAAAATGGTATCGTCTTGGACATCAGTGATAGGACAATCTGGCTTACTCTCTCTTACAGGTAGCCCCTCTTTAGAAACAGGAAAAAATTGTGGATTGATGCAGGGTAGGAATGGCAAATGGACAAATAGTCTGTGTGAAAAAAGATGTGGATACATCTGTAAAAGAATGAACTCTTCAATACAGGCGTCTGCACCTTCTTCAGGTAGGTTGTAAACTGGAAATTAAATTAACTGAATAAATATTCTTTCACTGATATGCATGGCACTCATACCCTAAATAACATTTTTGCATTCTTTCCTAGTGATGGTTTTGATTCCAGAATAATCTATTTAGAGTAATGTGAAATAATAGATTTACCTGAGTGGAGAACATGCAGAGATTTCGGTTCTGAATGCACATTATGCAGAAACAATTTTGCTTAGGCCAAAGAGATCCACTCAACGGCAGGAAGCAAGACAGCCTAAACATCCTATGTACACACCTATGCTTATAGCTGGGGGGGGGGGGGAGGAGATGTTGAATTCTCATCATTATTCTGATGATCCAAAATCCTGAGGAAATAGAAAAAAATTGTTTTATTTCAGAAAATTTTAATATGAAATATAGCACACCTCTTAGATGAGTTAAAGCCTCATCCTAAAGTGCAGATAGTCCTAAAGTGCAGATAGTCATTGTCTTTTGATAAGCTACTTAACAATCATTCATAATTAAGACAAACCCAGCACTGGTCCTCTAAGGCAGACATGTCAAACTCGTGATGTCACGTGACGTTGCGAGACGTATCAGGACAGTTTTGCCATTGCCGGCAGTTTGACACCCCTGCTCTGAGGCATCTCTAGCAATTATAAAATGTCATCCCATCGAGGGATGTAACTGTTCATGTAACTGTATTTGGAGGACTTGCCTTTTAAGACCAGTTGCTATGTCCCACAATCATTGAACATGATTTTTGCTGGGTGGGTTTTGCTGAAAGAATGGGTTCTCGCTTATGACTACACATTTGCTTAACTATCTCAGTGATTTGCTTAATGACTGCTGCAAAAAATGTTGTAAAATCAGATTTGTTACGTGGATGCTTATGATTCAACTTATTTCTTGACTCATTGGGTAGTTTAAATTTGCTGCCAATTTTAATTTTAGTTTGCTCTCTGTAAATTTCTATAAAATAAGATGGAAGTTTTGAAGAAAATCAACAATCTGGTACAAAATAGTTATGCGAATTAATACATACTGTAAAAAAGCATTAATAATTTCAGAATAGTTAAGCAGTCACATAGGACATAAAAAGTTGCTATTTTAGTACTTGCCTGATCCATGAAAAGTTAGATTGAAAAAATAGATCTGATTACAACAAATTCTGATGATTCTTCAGAAAAATATCCACATAAAAATAGACAAAATACCCTTATCTTTAAGATGGATTGCTTCAAATCTGCTTCTATTAAATTCTATTTATTGAATTAACTATATCATAATATGAGATCAGGATTTTCCTCCTACCTCCACTTTGAATTCTTGATGGTTTGTATATAATTACTGTCTTTTTAGATGATCTGAAGCCAGTTAAATGTCCAGATGGCTGGGTTGGATATGCAAAGCACTGTTACCATCTGAACAGAGATCGCAAAACGTGGAAAGATGCCTCAGTCTCCTGCCAAAAGGATGGTGGACATTTACTAAGTATACATGACATTGAGGAATACAGTTTTGTTTTTTCCCAACTTGGCTACAGTAAGTATATTTAGAAGGTTTATTTCCTGTTTCCTATATTCTGTGGGTACATGGATGCCAGGAAAAGAAAGGAATAGCTGCTCAAGCTGTCATCACAAGAAAAAAAGAGAGTATTTATTTAGGCCTTGTGTGGTTTAAATGACACTACAACTGCTGTATACATCCATGGCAGATTAGCACAGACATTTGCCAAGCAATTTTTTCACACATAGACTCACTTAATTCCAACCAACATAGCACAGAGTGCTGTGGGCTCTGGGATTATATACAACCTCTGGACTTCATTCATTACATTTGAGAGCAAATGAATAAAATGAATTTGTCTTTTTAGAACCAACAGATAATTTGTGGATAGGCCTAAATGACAAGAAGACGACTTCATATTTTGAATGGAGTGATGGTACTACAGTGAGATTCATCAAATGGCAGAAAGGAGAACCCACCCTTATAAGCGATGTGCAAGAAGACTGTGTCATCATGAGTGGGGAGGTAACAATAAGAATCCTTAATTGTCTAGTGGAGATTTTTTTCCTTTTCAGTTCTCTCTGTGGTGAAATTTCTGTCTACAGATGTTTGATGCAACCTATTCTTCCATAACATAATTTATTCCATAGATCAAAGTTTCTTAAATTTCTTCTTCTCATGACCCCTTTCCACTTTTAAAATTATAGACAACCCCAAAAGAATTTTTGTTTATATGAATAACTGATATTTATCGTATTAAAAAAGAAATTGGCATATGAAAAATTAAAACTGACATATTTACTGCTGCTATCACTTCTCACAATTGTTTGGATGGGATTTTAATATTGTGTTATTTTTTTCAATGTGGGCTGGAAATAATTCTAATTTCATGGCTCCGGGGTCCTATTACCACACTTTGAGAAACACTGCTTTTGATAATATTCCCATTTTTAGAGCTCCACAAAAAGGGTTAGAGGCTTTTTTATTTGATTAATGGATTAGTGTAGAGTTGTTCCACTCTAATTTATCTGACAATTCTAGGTTAACACCTGATTTAAATTATTACGGATGTGTATATTCTGGAGCTTAGCACAGAATATTGCTTTCAAATATTTTTGTTGTGTTTGTTTTTTTAATGTTAATGTTTGCCTACTGGATTGCTGTTAAGTACTGAGCTAATTTTATTGATTGTAATGATTGCATTTTTTGTTTAACAATATACTTTGGTAACGGCATTGTTATTTCTCAGAGTTAGGAATGAATACTTAAGGATGCTTAACTCTATATAGAAAAGGTGGTCTTTTCTGATTAAGGATATAACTTAATGCTTTGGGGGGACAGGGAAGATAGTAATAAAGTAATTAATTATGTCAAGTAGCACTCATAAACATTATTTTGGGAAAAATCTTCATTTATAAAAGCAATATAAAGCTTACTTCTTGGCTTATTCTACAGTTTTGTAATTAGAGAAGGCTCTGGAAGTTGCTAAACAAACAAACAAACAAACATTCAGCATCCTCATGGACCATGAGATCCTTTAGCTCTCTATTCATATTGCAATATATTGCTACAAAGTAATTAATACTTTGCTTTAAAATGTATATTACATTCAAGACTGGGAATAAACTTTTAATTTATATTGACTGAAGAACAAAAGCTTATTTAGGGATGCTAAATTTAGATTAAGTGTGCTACTGGCTGCTTATGTGATGAAAAGAACCAATGCAATTGTATTTTATATTTATATTATAAATATTTTATAATATTTATGGATTATATTTTGAAATAATTTAATTTTTGTGGGCTAAAAGCTATGTTTATTATTATTATTATTATTATTATAATTTAATTTATATACCGCCCTTCTCCCGCAGGACTCAGGGCGGTGCACAGCGTATTAAAAACAGTACAAATACAAAGCATAAAAATACAAACCCCTGTAAAACCAGATTAAAAAACCGAATATTAGAAGCTGTGTCTCTATTTAAAATTATTTTTAAAATCACCCTAAATAA